TCATGAAATTTTCGAAGTCCAAAGCCCGTAATTTAGACAAAAATCAGTGGAGCAGAACCAAACGTAAACTCGATCTTTAAAAAGTAAAATAACAAAAATACCGAACTCCAAGGAAAATTCAAAACTGAAAGTCCCTTATCAAATGGCAAAATCGAAAGCTCAAACACATCAAACGAATGGAAAACAACTGTCATATTCCTGACTAGGTACACTCATCATAGTAGATTTACATACTAAAAATCAGTTTAATATGTGAAGGCATTTAGAAAAAAAGTCCATATAACTGCTGTTTTCATGAAATTTTCAAAGTCCAAAGGTTCTAATTTAGACAAAAATCAGCGGAGCGAAACCAAAAGTAAACTTGATATGTAACTCATCATAGTAGACTCACAAACTAAAAATCAACTCAATATGTGACGGTGCTTAGAACTAGAGGCTCTAAAGAGCCTGTGTCGCTCACCTTGGCCTATGTGCATATTCAACAAAGGACACTCTCCAACGTTGTAGACGAGAATAGAGTTCATGACAAAAATCTCTGTTTTGTTGATTTTGTATTGCTGATCATTTAGTCTGTTTAGTTTCTCTCATCTTCTTTAGTCTTTGCTCAAAACACAAAAGAGGGTAAGAAAATCATCCTCATTTAAGAACAATCACTCCTATAAGGAGTGACAGTCTATATAGCTAATAACTATATCGACAAAATTTGACTTGTTAGTAGATCTTGCCTTGCTGATCATTTTTGTGATTGAAAGTGTCTATTTATCTTTTATAAGTTTTATCATATAAGGTAAATAAAGGCAATAGTAGTATACCGCTGTTCAATAGTCATAAATCAATTTAACTGAAACAAATCTGGGTCACAAACAAAAACAGAGGGAAACACATCAACTATAAGAGGAAACAAAATGCAAAAAAATGGTAAAAATCGTCATTGAAGAGCAATAACTCCAATAAGGAGTCTTTGGACCATTTCTTTCATTTGTTTTAATTGTAGATCTTGTCTTCCTGATCATTTTTGCTTATTTAAGTCTCTATCTTTCTATTATATTTTTTAAGATATAAGGCAAAAACGCAAAAAATGGGTAAAAACCGTCATCAAAGGGCAATAACTCTAACAAGGAGTCAACTGACGACTTATTTGTAGAACTTGTTTTGCTGGTCATTTTTGCAATTTAAGTTTCTCTCTATCTATTTTAGTTTTCAAGATAATAGGTAAACATGAAAAAAAATGGTAAAATTTGTCATTTAAGGGCAATAACTCCTATAAGAAGTCGTCTGTGAGTTTTGACGTATATTAACAATTGGTAGAGCTCAACATTCTGAACGTTTTTGCCTGTGTCAGATTTTCTCTATTTATAACGGTTTTCAAAATAAGAGATAAAACTTGCGTTTTACCCTTATGTTCTATCTTTAGTCATGTCGACCATCTTGGTTGGCAGGCGGGGTCGTCAGACATATTTTTTAAACTAGATACCCTAATGATGATTGTTGGACCTTCGGGCCAGGTGAGCTAATAAAAGGCCGTACAACTGTTCGTTGCGGATTACGGAATGACGGAATGTTGGATAAGAGTCAACTATATGTCCCCGACAACTTTGTTGCGGGGTCATATAAAGACAATGGGAATCAAACATGATTTTCAGTATCCTAGTTTGTGTTTTCGAGGTTATACAAAATTTCAATCCTGGTATCTATGATGAGTTTACTCATACAGCGGATTTGCAATTTTCAGATATAGAAACAAGTTGTCTTAACAACTCCACACCTACAAATTATCAGATGCTTCAATGTACTTCAACACATTTGAGAAGCAATTAACAATTGTTCAACTAAGACTTTTGAATGTTACCATGATATAGACTGCCTTTTTTTCAAAATTCAAATGATTACTATCCATCTCCATCTGCAAAAGAAACTCAAATAAATTCTTGCCTGGACTGTCAGTTGTTGTACTCAGTTATTTAGTACATAGGAAAAGACAGAAAGCTTTGTTTGCAATTCAATAGATGTTTTTGTAATTAAGTCACCAGACTTTCTACACATTTTTTACCATAGTATCAACCTATATATACAGTTAAACTTTTATCTCAGCATTCGTTTTTATTTCAAATCATTAAAGGGCAATAACTCGAAAACAAGTAGACTGAAGATTTCTGCCATTATAGCTTATTTGTAGATCTTGTCTTGCTGATCATTTGTATTATTTAAAGTTTCTATCTATCTATTACAGTTTTCAAGATAATAGGCACGAATGGGAAAAATCGTCATTAAAGGGTTATAACTTCAATAAGGAGTCGACTAACGATTTTGATCCTGTTGACTTATTCGTAGATCTTGTCTTGCTTGTATTGTTTCTATCTATCTATTATAGTTTTTTAAGATATTAGGCAAAAACGCCAAAAAATGGTATAAATTATCATTAAAGGACAATAACTCTAATAAGGAGTCGTCTTGACGATTTTTTCAAGTTGAATTATTTGTAGATCTAGTCTTTCTGATCATTTTTGCTTTTAAAGTTTCTGTCTATCTATTATAATTTTCGAGATAATAGGAAAATATTTTAAATAAACTGTTAACAGAGAGATATGTCTCGCCTTTTTGTTCTTTTGATAATGCAAATGTTGAAATTAAAATAGCAATACTTTTACATGTAAGTTATGCAAATATTCAAAGTCAATGAACCATGACTGAAGGTACATGGCAAAACAATCTCCATGGGAATGAGATGTGCCAATGCTAATACAACTGCATACCAAATACCATAGACGTATCATAAGTCGTTCCCTTTCAACAAACCTAAACACAAACATTGACTTGTAAACTATGTAAACGTTTCAAAGTCAAGAACCAGGATGAGGGGGTGGGGCTATATAATCTCCATGGAAACGAGACTTGCAAATGCCAATAAATTTGCATACCAAATATCATTGATTTAACATTAGCGGTTCATCTTAAACTATCTAATCACAAACTAATACATGTAAACTAAGCAAACGTTTCAAAGTCATTAGACCATGACTGCGGGGGTGGGACCAAATATTCTCAATGGAAATGAAATATGCCAATGCTTATACAACTGCATACCAAATATCATTGACTTACCACTAGTGGTTCCCCTTGAACTGACCTAATCACAAACTAATACATGTAAACTAAGCAAAAGTTTTAAAGTCAATAGACCATGACTGAGGGGGCGAAGCCAAATAATCTCCATGGAAATGAGATATGCCAATGCTTAAACAACTGCATACCAAATATCATTGACTTACCACTAGTGGTTCCCCATAAACTGACCTAATCACAAACTAATACATGTAAACTAAGCAAAATCTTCAAAGTCAATAGACCATGACTGAGGGAGCAGGGCCAAATATTCTCCATGGAAATGAGATGTGCCAGTGCTAATACAACTGCATACCAAATAACATTGAACCTTAAACTAGACCTTATCACAAACAAATATATTGTTGACGCCGCCGCTGGAAACGGCATACCTATGTCTCGCTTTTTGACTCCGTCAAGGCGAGACAAAAATGGTAAAATTCATCATTTAAGGGCAATAACTCCTATAAGAAGACAACTCACAACTTTATCTATGCTGGCCTATTTTCAGATCTTGTCTTGCTGATCATCTATATATATATAAAGTTTCTATATTTATTTATTACAGTTTTCAAAATATTTGGCAAAAATAAAAAAAAAATTGGGAAAAATCGTCATTAAAGGGTACTAATGTCAATAAGGAGTCAACTGATGATTTCGGTTTTCATCAACTTGCCAGAATATTCATCATTTTGAATGTGGGCAGTATTTGGAAGACGAAGAAGAAGGTTATCTTGACTTATTTGTAGATCTTGATTTGTTGATCATTTTGGCACTTTAAAGTTTCTTTCTATCTATTATAATATTAAAGATAACAGCCAAAAACGCAAAAAATAGGAAAAAATAAGGAGCAGCCATGTTGACTTATTTGTAGATCTTGTCTTGCTAATCACTTTTCCTAATACAAATTCTCTGTATCTATTATAGTTTTACAAAAAATAGACAAAAATGAAAAAAAAAAAAATGATAAAATTTAACATTTAAGGGCTCTTATAACAAGTCGTCTGACAGTTTCGACGTAAATGGACAGCAGGTAGATCTCAACATTCTCAACATTTCTGCCACTGTCAGATTTTCTCTTTTTATAGATTTTTTCATCTAGATACCCCAATAATGTTTGTGGCCAAATTTGGTTAAATTTGGCAAAGTAGTTTCAGAGGAGAAGATTTTTGTAAAAGTTAACGGACGACAAATGAGGACGGACGACGGACGCGAACCAAGTGATGAGAAAAGCTCACTTGGCCCTTCGCCCAGTTGAGTTAAAATGTGATTTTTGAAACTCCCCCTACTGATCTTTGATCACAATTTTCAATAATCTGCACCACATTAGCACTCTACGACAGGCTTTATTCAAAGGAATTTATACCAGTCCTAAAAATAAGACCAAAATCGGCCGTGAGGTATGTCGGTCCATTAATTTTTTTAATTTACCCTTGTTGTCACATTATACTTGTACTGCTTCTTCCTTCCCCCTTTGATAACATAACTATTTTTGTTTTTATATCATAGGTACATTTGCATTGGAATACAATACAGGGTTTTAACATTAACATAGTTGATAATGCAAGGAACAATAAAAACAGTAAAACATGATATAACTTGCAACCTCCATTGATATAAAGTCAGACAGCTATGTCCACTCTCTTCAACTTTGACTTATCAAGGTTTGACTGAATCAATTATAATTCAGATATTGTGCATTTAAAGCATCAACTAATATGGCATATGAAAGACATTCTCAATGTTGATAATCTACAACTGAATAGTAATGTGTTGAAATGCACAAAAAACATAAGTAATTCAGTACTTAATAAGCATAAATAATAATTTCACTATCAATATTATATTTATGCAATGCCTCAACTGACCAATTCTGTAATAAATGTCATAATACTTACATGTCCAGCATACTTCATTTCTTTTTTTACTATGGATATGTAATCTTTTTGGCTTACATAACAGATAGCTAGAGAAATATTTTGCAAAGTAGTACTTCCAGGCATAGCTTCTAAAATTCTATGGATATGACGAAGAGAAAGTCTACTTTCAGCTCTGATTCCTCCGCTTATTATGTTCAATGTACTTGGAACCATAGCTATCTGACCAGCTATGTACAGTCTTTTATCTACCTTCAAATAAAACAAAAGTACGGTAGATTTAAAAATGGCTATATTTCAAAACTAATTTAGGTGTTTTTAGACATAAATGCACTAAAGATTGGTAAACTTCCAAGAAGCATAGTATTTACGTACATGTAAATTAATCAAATTGGCTGCGAAAGAGAACTGGAGGAAACACAGGGACATTCAAATTCATAAGTCAAAATCAAACTTACAATGTCATGGCTATAAAAAAACAAAACAAAAATTATCAAAAGACAATTTACTCTACAAAACACAACATAGAAAATTAAAGACTGAGCAACACAAATCCAACAACAAACCGGGCATTATCTCAGGTGCTCTGGACAGGTAAGCAGAGCCTGCTCCACATGTTACACCACTCATAATAATTATTTATTAGAAACTTTATTCTTATTTATATTTCTACTTCGTTCTTTGAATTAAAATCTAAAATACTTGGTGAAATATACTTTAAGCTTAAATATGATCTCATGAAGATCAAAAGGGAGATATCTAAAAATCATATTTCGAAAAAGGGGGAATTGACATCATATTGTACATTCACATATATTGTACAATATATTACATGTTTTAATTCAAACTGATGACTGATTCTCAGACATATAGAAGAAGTATTGTAAAAGGAATAGTATAAAAGTTAAATTTTAACATCTTTAAGGAAATTAAAAAAGTACTATTTTATCTTTCAAAGACTCATTCCAATAAATATATGTACAGAAATGTTAAGCCATACTTTGATAGCAGCCAAAAAGAGGAATTCAAGTCTTATAAAAAAGTATAACCAAAAAAAACAAACTCCACAGCAAATTAAATAAATTGCTTCGCCGAGCACAGCTGGATACGACCGCAGAGGTCCAACCCTGAACAGTTGGGACAAAAATAGACACAATATTCGTGCTTGATACAGGTCTGAATTTGGATTGAAATTAAATGTTTGACACATAATAGGTTTCTGACACAGAATAACTGTAGAATTGGTTATATGATTTGAATTTATATTCAATGTTTTGCTTTTGTGCAATTCACTATGCTGTTGCGAATTGCCCCCCCCCCCCCCCCCCCAAAAAAAAAAAAAAAATTACCCCCCCCTTTTTTTTTTGCTTTTGTGCAAAACACTATGCTGTTGCAAATTGCCCCCCCCCCCCCCCCACAAAAAAAAAATTTCGCCCCCCCTTTTTTTTTGGCAAACAAATTTTTTTTCATCCCACCCCTTTTTTTTGGCAAAAAGAAATAATATTTGAAGAAATTTTCTTTTTAATTTCTGACATCTGTAACGAGAAAAAAAATTGTTCCCCCCCACAATTTCTTTTTTATCCCCCCCCCACCCCCAATTTGTTTTTCACCTCCCCTCCCCCTCCCCTTTTTCAAAAAAAAAAAATCTTTCCCTCAAGATAAGGTCATTATCTCAATTCAAATTTCCAATGGAGTTTGCAAAAATAATTACCCATTAAATACATCATAATAAAAGTCTTAAAATAGAAAATGACATACATAATCATGTCTAAAAATAATATATCTTACATCAGCATTTTTATTAGTAACTTCTAAAAATAAATTGACAGCTAATCACCTCAAGACAATACAAAATTTCTTTATACATAATTTTAAAGCAGTGTAAGGGAGGTAATCCAAATTTAACATTGTACTTAAAAGTGATTGTCCATTAACAAGGAAACCCTTGTTTTTCCCCCTTTTTTTGCCCCTTATTCCTAAACGGTTTGAGCCATTTCCCCCAAAGCCAATCCTAACCATCCCTTTGTGGTATGGACACTTGTTGTACAATTTCAGAGAGATCCATACACCGTTCCACAAGTTATTGTCTGAAAACTAGAAAAATGCTTATTTGGGCCCCTTTTTGGGGCCCTTATTCCTAAACTGTTAGGACCATAACCCCCAAAATCAATCCCAACCTTCCTTTTGTGGTTATAAACCTTGTGTTTAAATTTCATAGATTTCTATTTACTAATACTAAAGTTATTGTCCGGAAACCAAGTATCTTCGGACGACGACGACGACGACGACAACGACATGATACCAATATACGACCACAAAAATTTTTTGCGGTCATATAAAAAGGGTAAGTCCATAAAAACTGACAAAATCAAACGCTATCAATCAACGGAACAAGTGAAAAACAACTGTCATATTCCTGATTTGGTACAGGCATTTTCCGAAGAAAATGGTGGTTAAAATTTGTCATTCTTAGTTTGTTTTATTTTATCACTTGGTACTTTGATGACTTGACTTTGTAGTTCGTTAAAATTCCTCATCAGTTGAACAGTTGATAGAATTTGTAAACATTTCTTTGTTCCTGATATCGATTTGATTGCTTCAAGGTTTGGTGGACTTAGGACAGACACGCTTATTTATTGTATATTTTAACATTTTAATGGTCTATATTAAGACCATACATTTTCATACCTTTTCTTTGTTAATTTACTCATGTTTATTGTATCAGGAAAGCAATTATTGATAGAGGACTTTCGAATCGTTTGCTGATGTTATTTTTGCATCTTGAAGACCTTCTACATTCAAACAGTACCAGTATGCATGCGAAAATGTGTACTTTGGTGTTATCACCAGAATACAAACCCCTTTCGACCATCTTACAAGGATGTAATTGACTACTTAAAGTTTGGAAGAACAGTAAATGTTCTTTTTCAGTAATCAATACCAAAAGTTTAATGTTAACACAGACTTTAACGTTTTTTTTTTTGAGTTAACCTTACAAAGTTTATTTTTGTGGATCGTATGATGAAAGAATGTATTAACCTTAATCAGACAAATGCACGGTTCTCTTTTATTTAGGATGTGAATACAGTGTTTACTTTGTTATGTAGTTTCTATCCTTTGGAGGATATATCTTTGAATACTTTAACTTTTAAACAGATGTCTATAGTTGCTCTAGCTACAGCTGCCAGAGCACAATCTTTGTCAGCACTGGATCTACAGTATATGTCTTACAGCCTGAGGAAAGGCATTTATATTTTTCATTTTCAAGGACTTTTGAAAACTTCTACCAGGCCTGGTGTCAGCCTTCATGATATTGTTTTGAGATATTTTAATAAACCAGCCCTGTGTGTTGTGAAGACTTTAATACATTATATTTTGCATACAAAGGATGTCAGGAATACATCTATTTTGTTTATTTCTTTTGTAACTTTTCATGAAGTTTCAACTTCAACCTTATCAAGGTGGTTAAAACAGTTTTTCTTTTCGCTAGAATTAATATTAACATTTTTAAGGCCCGTTCTTTTAGAGGGACTTCTACTTCAGCCGCATTGTCTTCAGGATGTTCTATCAAAGGCATTATTCCAACAGTCAACTGGACATTTTAAAAAGTTTTGTTACAAGGAATTTCTACTATTTTTGGTGGATAATTTTGTATTTATGTTTTATCAAATGTGGCATTTGTTTGATTTTGTTTAGATTTTCACTGTACGTCCACACTTTAAACAAGCTATTTTATTACTTGAAGAACGAAATATGAATAAGAATGTCCTTTAATTCAAGCCTATCTTGGATATGCAGGATAAAGGCCATTCTTAGAATATAATATGAGGCAAAGAATCATAAATTCCCACCCTATGGGGTATCTGTCAGACCCACCCTTTTTGATTTGGTTGACACAAACTTGTTTTAAACTAGAACTAGAACTGTCCACTGAGCTGGACTTGTACCCTTTTGCATCGTGGATTGACGTTTGAATATGTCAGTGACTGAAATACAGCGTATCGTCTATTAAAACGTTTAAACCCGCTGCATTTGTTTGCACCTGTCCTAAGTCAGGACAGTTGTCGTTTGTTGATTTGGTTCATAAGTGTTTATCGTTTCTCGTTTTTTATATAGATTAGACCGTTGGTATTCCTGTTTGAATGGTTTTACACTAGTCATTTTTGGGGCCCTTTATAGCTTGCTGTTCGTTGTGAGCCAAGGCTCCGTGTTGAAGGCCGTACTTTGACCTATAATGGTTTACTTTTACAAATTGTGTCTTGGATGGAGAGTTGTCTCATTGGCACTCATACCACATCTTCTTATATCAATGAATGGAATTGATAATATAAAACTTTTTTCAAATATCGTATTTGATATCGGCCCAGATAGATTTACCCCTGTAAATTTGAAGTCTGAATGGCTGTGTTTCTGGGCAAGAAAAAGAGTCCTTATAAAATTACTTGATTTAATTCATATATGAGTTAAATTGTTTATAGTTTATTAAGGAAACTCAATTTTAATAACTGATATCAGCATGCGCAACAGTTTGTATTAAGTTTCATAAATGTAAAATTTGTAAAGGGTTGTCTCGACTGCAACTGAAGCAGGGATGACAAGAATTGCTCTGCTAAAATTTCTAAACATGACTTAAAAAACTTCAATGGACCAGAACATCCTACCCACATGCACATCTACATATAAGAATACAACTATGTACAAAGTTTCTTGTATATGCGATAAACCATGTAGGAGGAGTTGAGATGACAAGGTTGATTGTGAAAAGGGTAAACATTTCTAAGGTGAAAGGGGCACAATTCTGGATACACTAAACAGAAAAAAAACAGGTGTTCAAATACAAGGGTCAAGGTCACTGCGCATCTATGATCTGGTGGTTATAGTTTGTTTCTTTATTCGGAGACATTACTTGTATGCTTCACCCCTCACAGAGAAGCTAAGCTACCCATATTTTATAACTTTTCAGCCGTAGACTGATATTTTAAGAATGACATCCAAGATATGCTTGGATGAAGCAAAATGATCCATCCCTTTAGGGATTTTAAAGATTTTTGTTATAAAAACAGATAAATAAAGTATAATCATACTAACAGTAATGTTATAAGTTTAGATCTTTTTACAATTAAGTATATTCATTTCTTTTCGATATCAAACAAGATTCGTTAGGTTTTTCAAAGTCAAGTAGTTCCACATGCAGTGTTTTGTCCATGCTATATAAGGTGATTGGCAGGTAATTTTTTATCGAGTCTCGTTAC